TTTTTAATTAGAAAGAATAAATCAGTTAAGTCACAGCTACAAAATCAATATACAGAATATACTGCATTTCTATATGCAAACAACTAGAAGAAAACACAAAGAAAACAATTACATTTACAATGTCATCAAAGAGAATTAAGTTCCTAAGAATAAACTCAAAAAGTGAAGGAAACTGCCCCTGGCTGCTACTAAAGCTCCTTAACGGCCACGATCCGGCCATGATCCGTCCGGAGACATACAAAAGAATCTCCAAACCAAGCAACTCACTGAAGAGATTTCTCCAGACTCTAATTATCTAAAATTTTAGAATTCCAGGATCACGGAGCTGCTCTTGTGGCTGCACATCATCTTATCCTATTCATAACAAGCAATATGAGAGAGAGTATGGGGGAGATTGTCTGCCACAGAGGCAGGGGGAGGGGGTGGTTGGGGAGGGGGATACTGGGGAACTTGGTGGTGGAAGATGTGCACTGGTGAAGGGTTTGGTGATCAATTATTGTATGACTGAAACTCAAACAGAAAAGCTTTGTAACTGTATCTCACAGTGATTAAAAATAATAGTAATAATAATAATAAACATTCTGGAAAAAAAAGAGCAATGTGGAGTTCATGCCCAAGTCAATCAGCTTAATCAATGGATGAATAAATAGCAGTGTCCTACAGTTAAAAAAAGTGAAGGAAAAGACCTATATATGACAAATGGTAATTCATTGCTAGCAAAAAAAAGACAAAGAATGGGAAATATACTGTGTTCATAGATTGGAAGTGTCATTATTAAAATGTCTGTTTTATCCAAAGCAATGTTCAGATACAATGCAACCAATCCTGATAAAAATTCCAAAGGCATTTTTAAAGGAAACTGTGTAATTATTACTTAATTTGTATAGAACCATGAAAAATAGAGTCAAAGAGGAATTGAGAAAAAGGAGTGGAGTTATCATACGCCCCAACTTCAGACTACATTATAAACCAATAGTAATCAAAACAGCTTGGTATTGAAAGGAAAAAGAGACACATGGATCAATAGGATAGTAATAAGATTAGAGAAAAAAATCCATACAAATGCAGTTAATATAAAAAAAAGAACACAAGCGCAAACAATGGAGAAAGGAAAAATCTCTTCCATAACTGGCATTGGGAAACTGGATGGTCACATACAAAAGAATAAAATCAAAACACTGGCTTCTATCATATACAAAAAATAGCTAAACGGATTAAAGACTTGGAAGTCAGTCATGAAACCCTAAAGTACACAGAAGAAAACGTGTTTATATACTCAACAATGACGGCCTCAGTAATGTCCTTGGAACTCCACTCCAAATGTATGAAAACACAAGTAAAATTAAACAAGTGGAACCAAAGCAAACTGAAAGGTTTCTGCACTGTGAAAGAAACTATCACTACAATGAAAACAGACATCTGAGTGAAAGGGATAAAATATTCTCATATTATTCATATGACAAAACTCATCCAACTCAGTAACACAAAAAATTCTAATTAAATATATGCAAAAGAGCTTAACAGACTAAAACAAAACATACAGATATCCAACAGGCACAAGAGAAAATTCTCATCATCACCGATTATGAGTGATATGAAAATCAAAGACCACAATGGGACATCACCTCATGCATGTGAAAATGGCATATATCAAATTGGACAGAAACTAAGGAGAAAAGTTTCTCATCAACTCTTTTTAGGAATGTCAGCTGGTCCAACCCCTATGAAAATCAAGCTTCAAAATTTTCAATAAATGAAAAATAGAATATATTATCCAGCAATTCCACTCATGGGCATCTTATTTAAAGAATGCTAATTCATTAAAATATACACACCAGTATTCACTGCATAAATATCACAATAACTACACTTTGGAAACAATCCACATGGGCAGTGACAGATGAGAGAGTTGGTATTAGATATATAGATATAAAATAGAATACTACTTTATAGTATTTGTGACAAGATGAACAGAATAGAAGAGTTAAACGAAGTGAGTCAGAAGAAGGAAGATAAATATTAGATTATTTCAATCATATGTGGAACATGAAGATGCAAAGCATAGAAAGAGAACAAACCAAAATGAAATAAACTGATTCTGACTGTGAATTTACAAGACTTGGGGTGCAGGGTTGGGATCATAGGATAAAGAGTCCAGTGGGAAACTATGGAGGCTGCAGGAACTTTGGCGGTGGATATGGCATGGCAGCATACATTTGAAGAGTTTTGAACTTACTCCTAAAATGAAATACAATGTTGAGGGCTGGAAGGATAGTACAGCAGGTAGGATGCTTGCCTTGCACAAGGCCAACCCAAGTTCAATTCCAGCATCCCATATGGTCCCCTTGCAGTCATGAGTCTTTACTGAATGCAGAATTAGAAGGAAACTCTGAGCACAGCCAGTTGTGGCCCAAAAAAGCTAAATAAATAAATAAATAAAATACTGAAAAGCAACATGACCTCAATTTTTAAAAGTATAAGTGCAAAATAATGATGATGTTAAATGCCTGAAGAAAGAAATAGATCCATGGATGTAGCTAAAGTCCACATAAAACCTGTGTATAACGATAGCAGTTTCATTTAAATATACCCAAACTGGAAACAATGAAAATATTCAAAGTAGATGAACACTGTGATACACCCATACTAAAAAATACTGCTCAGTTGTGAAGGAGGAGAAAGAGCTCTTGATACAGGCAACAATCTCAGGGGTACAGCTTTGAATAAACAGAAATTTCAAAGGGTTATATACTCACATAATATTACAAAATGACAAAATTCTGGATATGGAATAGCGATAGCATTTTCCAGGTTAAGCATAGCAGGGGGCATAACTAAGTGGATAATGCATGAGGGCAATTTTTAATGAAATACTTCTGTATTTGACTGTGATGGCAACTATGTACATATACACATACTGCTACTGTCAAATTATTGGTTTTGATACTGTACTAGAGTTACATAAGAAGAAACCATTGGGGAGAAAGCAGTAAAAGTACACACCATCTCTTTGTTCTATCTCTGTAACTGTGAGTCTACTATTATTTCAAAAAAATGAAAGTGGTACAAAAATTAAAAACAAATGTCTGAAACTTGTGGTAGAATTTTCTACTTCCTCTATAACAAAATAATACTTTCGAATTCTAGTGGATAAAAAGGTTAGCACTGCTCATATTTTCACCTGGTACTTTGAAAATACAGAGAAAACAAAACACATGAAATTAAAACTGTCTTTATCTTAGATACTGGTATTCCTTTACCATCCATCTTTATTCTACCTTCTGGCCTTATCTCATATATTGAGTTTATTAGTTTACCTTTCAGTGACCTCTACTATATTCCAAAATTATTGCTCTCCCATATCTTGTTTCTCACTCCCATGAAACTGTACATTCCCTCAGAATAATTTCAACTAGGAACTAAAATCAACAATTAGATGATCTGATTCTAGTCCCTCAGTGCAGATGACTGAATGATTAGACCCCTGCTGAAAGGTACACTAAATAAAAAGTTCCTAATTCCCAATTAACATCAAATTAAGAAAAGATACAATGTACAAAAGATTTCAGAGCAAACAAACCTTTAAGATTCTGACAGTCTACTCTAAATCATCTCTCCCTACATCTCACGGCTCAAGAATACCTTCTACAATACCCCTAGCCAGTTTCTGCAACTTCATATTGCACTTCATTAAATAAACACCCAAGGAACAAAACTAACATTTGCAAAGCACTCTGGTTTTCAGGGAACTTGTTCACAAGGGATCTCATTTGATACTCATTAGGCAGTAGAATACATAAATGAAGAGCTCTATTTTCATCTCCCCATCTTAGAGAAGAGGTAACTTAGAGAAGCAGCTTCTCAAGATCATATAAGCAAATACCTGAATTGCAGAATAAAAAAAAATAACTTGGATATCCCGATTTCTACCCTAAGCAATGTCAAGATATTCCATTAAACTAAATACCCATCCTCTATCCAGTAACAGACATTTCATAACACTGAGCACTAGAAGAATAGAAGGCAAATAGTCAATGCAATTTAACTTTTCTGGTTTCATCTAAAGCAGAGGATCTGAAAGTGTGGTATAATCCTGAGATCAGTAATACGTCTGGTGATTCTAAATAGAGCTTTCAAAATAGAAAATCAGAGTGCAATTGCATGCGGTTGAAGAAATCATCTGGCACAGAGAGGGAGGCAGAGGGCAGGAGGGAGAGACCTGGAAAGAGGGAAAGGGAGGGTGGTGAGGGAGGGAGGAAGGCAGGGAGGGAGGGAGAAAAACAGGAAGGATGGAAGGACGGAAAGAAGAAAGGGAGGGAGGGAAGAGAGGGAGGGAAGGAGGGAAAGAGGGTGTTTACTTCAGCACACTTTACTTTATGCAATTCACTAATTAATTTGTGGAAAAGGGCAGGATTATGCGGCTCTAACAAAGTAGAATTCTAATAGATTTAACTGGATCCCTAGCTCCCCCAGATACTGGCCACAGAAAAGCATACTGGAGGTTAATAAGCACAGAAAATCTCAATGAATCATCTATGATGACCTGATTTTTAATCTCCCGATTCTCCTTCAATCTATTCTTCCCAGAGGGAGCATTGCAAAGACTTACCAACCCTTGTTCAAAGTGTAAGGTTAAAAAAAAGAGTGAAATTCTGGAAAAGTAACGTCAAAGAATACTTTTTATGGCAGCAAACAGAAACGCAGAGTAGATGATCCCAGGAGACTCAGATGACCCCATTTATTCCCAAAGATTTGTCCTTAGGCCTAAAGTTTGAGAACACACAGTATACAAATTCAACAACAAAGGATGTCAAGTGGGCAAAGGAGAAAAACATACAAGATAAAATCTGTAATCTTCAATCTGCTAAACATTACATAGACTTTTATTATTAAGGGTCTCCTTTTTGATTCAAAGGAGTTTCTAGCTTCATTTTGTTTCCTTTCCAATGGCCTAGGGTGCTGTAAGGCAAACAAAAGGGCAGTTTCTATGGAAGACTTACCAACACGATACTTGAGTTCTATGGTGGTTTCACCTTCTCTGGCTAATTCTGTTACTTCACAAGAGTAGTTTCCCACAACGGCCTCTCTTCTATCCAACGTCAAAGAGGCAATCCCTGTCAGCAGATCTGATTGTGAGATTTTTGCACTACGAAATCCACTGGAGGTAAGGGTCTTCTGGTTAGATCCATCAAAACTCAAAACGGGTTTTCCTTTATATTTCCACTTTACATATATCTCAACAATGTCCTTTGGCTCCAAATTAGTAACAATGCATGGAATGACAACAGTTTCATTACAAATGGTGTACTCTATTGATTTTGTTGTATTAAATATCAGCTGAGCTGAACCTGAAAAGAAAAGAAAAATGTTTCATTAAAGAAATTAGTAAGATTTTACAAATCTTTATGAGCTACAGACCCGAGCTTTGATTAAGATGGCAATGCAACTATAAGTAAAATTGGCAAGGTGAAAAAGAGAAGCAAATTACTTTAATAATAACCTCCACAGCTAATAAACAATGAAACTTTTTCTTATTCATCCTCAGTACGAAAAGTATACAGTGCCAAGCATCTTGGGAATAAATTCAGCAACCTTGCTGGAACATGAAGGTTCAGGATCTGGCTTTGAAAGCTTTGAAGTAATTACCTTTATATTAAATATATACAAAATTCATATTGCTCTTGTCATGAGAAATTCTGAACAAGAAACCAAACCAAATATCCTATTTAGACTATACCTCCATAATTTTTCCCTAAGAGAAGTAACTAAGCTGATATAAAATTTATCTAGGGGCTGGAGCAATAGCACAGTATGTAGGGCGTTTGCCTTGCACGCGGCCGACCTGGGTTCAATTCCCAGCATTCCATATGGTCCCCCGAGCACCGCCAGAAGTGATTCCTGAGTGCAAAACCAGGAGTAACCCCTGAGCTTCGCCGGGTGTTACCCAAAAAGCAAAAAAAAAAATTATCTCTATCTTTATGTTGCATTACCAAAGTAGATGGGCTGGAGCAATAGTATAGCAGGTAGGGCGTTTGCCTTGCACGCAGCCGATCCAGGTTCAATTCCTCCGTCCCTGTCAGAGGCCCAGCAAGCTACTGAGTATTCCATCCACGCGGCAGAGCCTGGCAAGCTCCCCGTGGTATATTCGATATGCCAAAAACAGTAACAAGTCACACAATGGAGAAGTTACTGGTGCCCTATTGAGCAAATGAACAACAGGAAGACAGTGCTACAGTGCTCCCAAAGGAGATGTTGGTTCTACTGTGCTTTAATACATAAGTAAATCTAATGAATCACATCTCATCTTTACACTAGGATGTAAAGTCTAAGAATACTAAGAAAAAAAAAAACCAAGAATCTGTGGCTATCTCCCCAGAAAGTGCAGTCAGTAATAATTTCACATGCAAGAATTATAAATGATTATATGCACTGGAAAGGTATTATCCACCCCCACATTTTCCTGAAACTACAGAACAACAATGCCCAAATTTAAATATTCCAAATTTCAAAGAATTAAAGGTATTTATTTCTCCTAGAATCATTAAGCCACTTGAAATAAACCTAAGTAATCAGAGGCAACAATGAGCAGTTACTGTTAATAGTAGGATATATTCCATCAACTCCCGTAAGGTTGGAAAAGTAACCGCAACCATTTATCTACTAGTTAAAATGGGCATGAATGTGAAAAATAGTGTAGCTGTGTTCCATTTCTCCAATCAACAATCAACTTTCTATGTTGATATTAATCACCTAAGCTAGTTGGCTTTTCATTAAAAGGTCTAGAAAATAATATAAATACTAATATAATAGAAAGTCAAACATCAACTCTAAGATTTCTTCCTTCTAATATAAACTGGGAATTAAATTCCTCAGGGGGACAGGATGTTTTTATTCTAGGGACTTAATTGTTATTCAGCAAATGACCACTGAATTGAATGCTAGGATGGTTTGCTCAATTTGAACTGGATAATGTTCAGAAAAACTAAGTACTAATTCTGTCACTTTTCAGTATGCAACCTTAAGCAATTCACTGAGCTATTGTTAACTTTGGTTTACTCTCTCTAAGAGGATCAAAACTGAAGACTGGGCAACTTCATGGAACTGTGGTGAGCATCAAAAGAAAAAAATACCATATAGGCAAATGCTCTCTCATTCTATGCTATAAATTGGCAGGGTGATACTATTAAGAACTAGATAATGTGTAATTTTAATGATCTGTATCTACTCTGCCTGGCAGGCCCAAATTACTCTATTTCTGTGAAATTGCTTGCAGCTAACCAAAATTTACTCTTCCCAGTCTCTACATTTCTGCCCATCCAAATATTAGGCAGCCCTGGGTAAAACCTGGATTTCCAGTTGCATTCTTCAAAACTTTGGGTATGTGAATTATTTCCCCTAAGAAAAGTACTGAGTGGATACAAAGACAAAAGCAAAAAAATACTATGATGCTGGACTTAAGAAATTGTAAATATCATGAATGATTTCAAAATGGAAAAAAATTATTGAATGCCCTTTTCATGTAGTAGGCATTGTCTCACAGAAGCTTTGGGAATATCCAATTCTACAGGGGCCTGTGATTTCTGTTATATTTTATAATTTCATAAGTTACAGAAAAATGGATGATAATACAAATTATTCCTGTCCATAGAAATACAAAAGTGGTTTGTTCTTCAATTGATTTCTACCAGGTAGAGGAGAGGATTTCAAAAATTTACATTTTATTGCCCTGAGGATACTAACCAATTCTCTATTAGGAAATTCATTTCAGCATCCCTTATTGCCTACAATGAGTCTATTCTTATTTTATTCTTATTAAAATCAAGGTTTTACCAACTTGCTAGTTTGCTTGCTAATGAATGAAATCTTTTAAACACATTCATTTTATAACTGAGTCAAAATCGAAATTTGCTTGTAAGTGGATAGACACGGAGAGTATCACGCTATGTGAAATGAGTCAGAAAGAGGGACAGATATAGAAGGACTACACTCATTTGTGGAGTATAAAATAACATAACATGAGACCAACACCCAAGGACAGTAGATATAAGGTTCAGGAAGACTGCTCCACAGTTGAAAGCCTGTCTCCTGGGTGGGGAGAGGACAGCTGCAATAGAGAAGGGATCACTAAGAAAATGATGTTGGAGGAATCGGTCGGGCTGGGAGATGTGTGCTGAAAGTAGAGAAAGGACCCAACATGCTAACCTCTCATTATCTTCATTGCAAACCATAATGCCCCAAAGCAGAGAGAGAGTATGGGAAATATTGTTTGCCACGAAGGCAGTGGGAGGGTGGGAAAGGTGAGGGTATACTGAGGATATTGGTGGTGGAGAATGTGAACTGGTGGAGGGATGGGTGTTTGATCGTTGTGTGATTGTAACTCAAACATGAAAGCTTATAACTATATCTCGTGGTGAATCAATAAAATTTTTTAAATTATCTCTTAAAAATATATATGTGGGGCCAGTCTGATATTATAGGGGTGAAGACATCTGCCTAGCATATGGCTGACCCCAGTTCAATTCGTGCACTGCAGATGGTCTCATGAGCACTGCCAAAAGTGATCCCTAAGCACAAAGCCAGGAGTAAGTTCTGAGCACTAGCACTGCTGAGTGTAGCCCCAACTCTTTCACAAATAAGGAGTTGGAAAGTGACTCTTCATCACTCTTCATAGTTAACAACTATAACTTAATTCCCTGTAAACATTTACTAAAAACTACTAGCTAGCAGAATCATCTGATTTGGATTTTCTCTCTTTTGCACACTGCCATCTATTAAGAGAGTAAAGTGAATGAAAAACTAACATATAGAGAAGAAGCAAAGAAATACAGATAATAATATGAATAAAGAAACTCTGAGTTTAATAGTCAAGATAGATCTACCGTAGTCTAAATCTGGTAGGAATAGAAAAATATAACCATGGTTATGTTAAGAGTTAAATCAACAAATCAAATGAAAAAATTACCTTATGTCAAATGTCAAAAATATTGAGCCTAACAATTTCTATGAATATAAAATACTGACTTAAAGCGTTTTATGCCACTGTCCTGAAAGCAGCTACACGCAGCATAACAAATTCTACTCAGAAAATTTAAAATGCGACAGATATTACCTGATCTGAAACACTGCAATAGGATGTGGAGCTACAATGAAAAATGGAGAAATTATTCTGGAAGCCTATAACTCTCATTTTGTGGGGTGACGCCAACTTTGGGGGAGTGGTGGGACATACCCATAGCTCTCAAGGGCAACTCCCCATCCTGTGCTAGTGTAGCTCTGTGTGGTGCTCAAGAGATCATGTGGAGCCAGGGATCAAACCAGGGCCAGCACCATGAAAGGCCTGTACTATCTCTCCAGCCCTCTACTTTTTCTTCCTGTATGAACAAAACACAAGAAGAATGTACAGCAGTCTAATCAGTCCGATAGATGTCAAAGCAATCTTTCGCTGCTACCTAACAAAAGAGTATTAACAGTCCCACACATCCAGAACTTCAACCTTAACTTTTTCATAAATTCCATTTAAATGTTCTCTCCTAGGACCAGAGAGGGTATAGTGGATAAGGCACTTGCCTGACACGCTGCCAAGTCAGGTTCAACCCCTGGCATCCTATATAGTCCTCAGAACATGGCCCAGATTGATTTCTGAGCACAGAGCCAGGTGCAATCCTAAGCAACAAGGTGTGACCCCAAAACAACCCCCCCCCGCAAAAAAAATTCCTTTGTAAGAGCTCTTAGATGACTACTCTTCTGCATTTTTATTCTATACAAAGATCTCTTCGCCTTAATGCTAATTGAGAACTTCAGCTGAGAAGTCAGAGGCTTCCAACAGTCCTTATTTATATTCTTAAAAGCTATGCAAACCTCCTCCACCCTCAGTTCCTCTTCTTCAGAATTCATCTCAGAATGCCTCTCTTTCCGTCCCCATACCCACCAATCTCAAGGACTTTCCCCGTTATAAATTCAATCTCTGAAAATGTCTCCATTCACATGGGTTTGTTTTCATCTTTGGTTTTTATTCTGCTTTGTTTAGGGGCCACACAAAGCTGTGCTCAAGGCTCAGTGTACTCCTGATTCAGGGATTGAAACTGGTGGTGCTTGGGATGCCATAGAGATTGCTGGGGATCTAACCAGGCTAGATCACATGTCTCTCTCTCTCTCTCTCTCTCTCTCTCTCTCTCTCTCTCTCTGGCCCTCATATAGGGTGGCTTGGTGTTTTTGTTGTTGATGGGTTTTTTTTTTCTTTTGGAAAAATATTTTTAAATGTTAGTCTCTCCCCCTGGCATCCTAAGGGAAAAATCAAAATGCAAAAACCAAGATGCATTTCTTCACTCCTATTCAGTAATTATATCTC